AAGATTTTATTTATTTATTTGACAGAGAGAGACACAGCGAGAGAGGGAACACAAGCAGGGGGAGTGGGAGAGGGAGAAGCAGGCTTCCCGCGGATCGGGGAGCCGGATGCAGGGCTCGATCCCAGGACCCCGGGATCATGACCTGAGCCGAGGGCAGACGCTTAACGACTGAGCCACCCGGGCGCCCCTCCCTCCTGCCACTCTTGGTGTAGCTGTCAGAGCCTCCTCTGGGGACACCAACAGATCCTCCCTTTTGTCATACCTACGCTCTCCCTGGCTGGGATCATAGCCACTCCTTGGCCCCCGGAGCCACCAGTGTGCTGGGGCCTCTCAGGTCAGTGTCCCCCTGCTGCCCGCTCCCCCCCCCAACCCCTACCACTTGACTCCTGCTTTCCTGGCATGAGCGTCCGTGTGGCCACAGCTGCGTGCTCTTGGGCTCTGTCGTCCAGCTCACACTGGCCCCAGGGCTTCTGTCTGAGCCCGGCGGTGCTCACTGGGAGCCCGCAGGTGGGCATGCCAGGCCCGTGAGAGCAGGGAGCCGGGTCTCCGCAAGCTGCCCCCTTGCCGGAGCCACATCCAGCACCCATTCTCTCCTCCTGTGAGAACCACCACCGTGCCCGGCTCCCCAGCCAGCTACCCACCCCATCTGTCTATCTCCTCCTGTGAGAACCACCACCGTGCCCGGCTCCCCAGCCAGCTACCCACCCCATCTGTCTATCTCCTCCTGTGAGAACCACCACCGTGCCCAGCTCCCCAGCCAGCTACCCACCCCATCTGTCTATCTCTTCCATCTGTCCCTTTCATCCTCCTTGGCCACCGAGTGCCTGCTAGGTCACTTCCTGTCACCTATCCTGGCTCTAGATGCCATGCCTGCCTGGGACTCCCACTTGCCACTTCCCAGTCAAGAACCAAACGTGAAGCCCAATTGCATGAGCCCCTGTGTCCCCCTCCACCCTGCTTCTGGGCTCGTCCTTGCCCTCTGGGCTCACACCCTTGCCGGCCTGTCCCTCCCTAGGCTGGGCTCAGCCAGCTGGTCTGAGGCCAGGAAGGTCAGACTTGAACCTTGGGATGAAAGAGTTTGGTTCCTAGGGGGAGGCAGAGACCCCCCCAGGAGAGGTGCCCCCCTGCCCTGCTCTCTGCCACACGGCCAGTCCTGGCTCTCACCTTGTCTACCTCCACATACCGCTCCGGGGAGGTGGGGACCAAGCAGTGCCGTCTGTGCCCAGAGGGGCCCCCGGGTGTGCCCAGAGGGGCCTCAGGTGGGGTGCATGGCTCTGGCCTGCAGGGTACAGACAGGGCATGGCCAAGGGAGGGGGGAAGAGCGAGGCTGGCCCAGCGGGTCCATTCTGTCCTCCTTTGGCGTCCCTCACCCGGATAACTCTCCCCCAGCTGGGCCCCTCTCCACATGGCCAAAGCCAGACCCCAGCCCCTTCTGACCTGGCCCAGCACCTGCTGCCCGGGACAGCCTTGGCTCCCCAACAGCAGTGCTCAGGCCGAGGTGGGCAAGGAGGGCCACCAAAATGAGTCTTCCCGAAGAACCATCCTTCCCTCGCTCACCGATGGACGAATTCCATGGCCAGGAGGACCTCGGGACTGCTCGCCTGCGGCCCCTGGCCCACCTTCTCTGCACTAGGGTCGGAGAGACAGCCCGTTGAAAGCACTCATTCCCGGCGCAGGCTCTGGGGGCCGGCGGGCTCAGTGCTGGCCAGAAGTGGTCTGGGCCGCCCCAGGCCTAGGGAAGCTAGGACTCGGGGCAGGGGAGGGGCAAGACACCTGGGGGACGGAGAAGCTGCTCACTCACCCCTCGGGCAGCGTGATGTACTTGTGCGGGATGAGTCCCCGGGCGCCTGAGCACTCGCCCCGCCACCAGTCGCCCGAGGCCCGTTCGTGCAGCCGCAGCACGTCCCCGCGCTGAAAGCTCAGCTCCTGGGCTGTGCGGCCCGTGTAGGCAAAGCAGGCCACGGCCTCCACGACCCCCTCCAGGTCTGGGGAGAAAAGGGGGTCCAAGTTGGGAGGCGGAGGGGGCACCCAGGGCGGGGACAGGATCGGGTCCTCCTTCTCTCCCCCCTCACCATCCTCCTGGGCCAGGGTCCCAGCTTCCAGCTCCGGCTCGTTCTCCCCGACCAGGCCCTCCAGCTGGGCATCCCTGAGGTCAGGGCGAGGCATCTGAGTAGATGAGGGGGCTCCCCTCTGCTGGACCCCCCCTCCCCCGCACACGAAGAGCATACCCTAGGCAGCTGGAGGAGGGCGGTGCCATGCACTTCTCGTAGATGGGGCCGGGCAGCAGGGTCAGCGGTGGGAAAACCCGGGAGGGCTGCACGATGAGAGTCTGCACCAGCTGGTTCACCCGGCCCTGCAAGGCCACGGGGTCCTGCCCGGCGGGCACGGGCAGCAGTGTCGGCCCGAAGCACACGGCCAGGTTGTAGGGGTCCATCATGTTCTCGTCGCTGTACTGAGCCAGGCTGGGGGCACACACAGGTCACGGGCGGGGAACGCCCCGCCTGGTGGCCCCCGCACGCCCCACCGTCAGCCCTCCCCGTCGCCCAGAAAGCACTCACTGGTTGAGGAAGGTGAAGAGGTAGCGCAGGACGACCAGCACTGGTGCGGGCAGCTGGGCCAGGAGACGGCCAACGCGCTCCACCCGCTCGGCCACAGCCTCCAACTCTGCGGCCCAGGCCACCCCCCCGCCACCCCGGGGAGAGAAGCAGGAGTGAGGCCGCAGCGACAGGAAAGCGGCCCCTCCCGCCCGGCCGGCCTCCAGCCCTGGCCTCACCTGCAGAGGCCAGCAGCTCTCGGAACAGGTCCGGTGGGAAGAGCGGGGGATCCAGGCTCCGGAAGTAGAGCTTCAGCACCCCTGCCACTGAGTCCAGGTCGTGAGCTGTACAGCCCTCCACCAGTGGGTCCTCCCCTGCAGGTGACACAGGGCGCAGGAGGCCAATCACACCAGCTCCGGCTCTCCCCCGACCCCTACCCCCTCCTGCCTGTCCCTACCTCTCTCGAAAGCGTCACGGATCTCTGAGACCCGGGGCTGGGCGCCTGACACCCGGAAGATGCCCTCGTGCTGCAGGCCTGGGGGGAGGATGAGAGCCGATGGGTGCCAAGTCCCCTCTCCACCCCCTCGAGGATCGGGTGCCAGGTGGGCAGCAGGAGGGCCCAGGTCTTGCTTACCATTCAGGTTAATGAAGCGGACACAGCTCTCCACCACCAGGGGCACGGGCTGGCCTGAGCTCTGGGGACAGAGAGGGTGCTCACTTCACAGTCCCTCCTTGTCACTGGCTCCCTTGTATGTTCTCTTAACAAGCCATGATGGTTATTGGCAAGGAGGCCTGGCATGTGTTTTGTGAGATTCGCTCCCGGGCGTCTTACATTGTTTGCTCTTTGAATACACACAGAGTGCATAATCACATCATAAGAAAGGCCAGCGCTATTTCTTCTTTTCAGACCCTTCTTGCTTCCCTTACTTCGCCGCCTAGGACCCCCAGTGGCACGCTAGCCGGAGCGGGGCTTGTGGGCTCTGCTTCTCACATGCTCCTGCCTGAGGCTTTCTGTAGATGCCTGGGGTTTTTTGTTTTTTGTTTGGGTGGTTGTTTTTAAATACCTTATTTATTTATTTGAGAGAGAGAGAGCACGAGCGGGAGGCGGGGAGAGGGAGCAGCAGACTCCCCACCGAGCAGGGAGCCCGACGCGGGACTTCATCCCAGGACCCCGGGACCGCGACCCAAGCCAAAGGCAGATGCTTCACGGTCTGAGCCACCCAGGCGCCCCTCTGTAGATGCCTGCTACTAGTGAAGGATGTCCCCTTCACTTGGTGGAGGCCTGACAGAGGCCCATCCAGGAAGGGACAGTTGACCAGTTGTCGACAGTGGAGGGCACTGGGGGTCACAGGCAGCCGGGCCACAGAGATGGCCCAGGGCTGGAGAGAAACCAAAATGCGGGGGAGGGTCTGCACTCAGTTGGAGCACGAGGTAAAGCCAGTACCTGGATAAACTTCTCCATGTCTCCCCCGAAGAGTTTCTGGTTATACTGGGAGCTGGGGCGGGGGTGGCGGCTCTTCTGCTGTTTTCTCTGTGTGTACTGGGTCCTGTAGTGGACGGAAGCTGGTTCTGAGGGGAGGGGGCATGGAGAATAGGAGGGCCCACCCCCTAGCCCAGCCAAACAGGGCCTTGGAGCCCACGAGTTAGTCCAGAACCCACGGGGCCAAGTGGGAAATGGAAGCCACGGAACGATGAGCAGCAGAGCTGGGCCCCAGGAGAGGGGAGATGGGGACATGGCAGCTTGGTCCCTGCAGAACCCACTCATCAGAACACACGGGCCCTGCACGCAGCACGCACTCACCAAGACACCTCCCGCTCCTCTTTGTCACCTGGGGGTAGAAAGCATAGGTGCGCTTTTCAGGCCGGGAGGTCCTTAATGCACGGCAGAGAGAAAGGCTAACAGGACAGGGGCCAGGAGCCCTACTGGGTTCTTTCCGGCCTGCCGACCAACCTCTCTGGGCAGAGAGGAACATGGGCTGGGTGGGGGCCCCAGGCAGGAGAGCGGAGGGCAGGTGCGCTCCCGGCCCTGGGGGTGGGGAGGTAGCGGCCCAGGGCCAGAAGTGGGGCCCACCTCGCTGAATGGCCTCCTGCAGTTTCTCATGCTTGGCCTGCAGCTTGGCAAGGATGCTTCGTCCACTCAGGTACTCCTGGAGCTTCTGGGAAGCCCGAAGAAGAGCCCAAAGTTTTAATCCCAGCTCTGGGTCCTCCCCATGCCCCATCCCTGCCCCCCCAGCTGCCCCCTCCCCACCATGATGTAGAAGGTCTCCGTCTCCTGCTGCTGGCCCCGCCTCCGGCCAGCCTGCCGGGTGCCTGGATCCGAGCTGGTGGACTTGAGGGACTCGGTGGAGGGGGTGGAGGGGCTGGCTTGGAGGGAGTCAAGCACATCCCCGTCTTCCGACGCCACCACCTCCAGCAGGGCCTGCAGTGTGGCCTTCAGGGTCTTGCTCACCTGGAGGGCGGCCAGCACCAGGGCAAGAAGAAATGGGGCACGAGCGAGGGACAGGAAGTCCAAGTCAGAAGGAAGGGGGAGGGGAGGCCACGGCCACCTGGCTCCCTGGCTCCCTGGCTCCAGCTCCGTGTCCCCACCCCGAGCCAGGGCACTCATACCTCCTCTGTCTCGATGGTCTGTCGGTCCAGGCGGCTCTGGATATTCTGGGCTCGGGGCAGAATCTCGTCCCGCAGCTCCATCTCCAGCCGGATCTCAGCCACCTGTGCAGGACGGCGTGCAGGGGACTGAGGGCTGGGCCCGGGGGCACAAAGCTCAGGCGTGGGAGCGGGCTGGGCAGCGGGCACTGAGGCCTCCGGGCATGAAGGCAGCGTGCACGTTTCCACCGCCTCGGCGGCTGCTGTCCAGGACCCCCAGTCCTTGACACCCGGCTCTCCCCAAGAGAAAGGAGCTCGTACGTGCCCGCGGACCCTTGCGTACAGACATGGCAGCGCTACTCCTAACAGCCCAAGGACGGAGGGAGCCCAGTGCCTATGGGCTGATGAATGGAAAAGCAAGTGTGGGACATCCATACAATGGAATGTCATTCAGCCACAAAGAGGAGCGGTGTCCTGGCTGATCCATGCTGCATGTAGGTGAACATAGAAGACATTCTGCTCTGTGAAAGAAGCCAGACACAAAAGGCACATATATCATACGATTCCATTTACATGAAACGTCCAGGAGAGGCAAACCCACAGACACGGAAAGGAGGTGAGTGGGCAATGGGGGGATGGGGGAGGAGGGTGGGGAGTGACTGCTTCCTGGGTCCAGGGTTTCTTTTGGGGGGTGAACGTGTTTTGCAATGAGAGAGTGGTGATGGTTGAATAACTCGGCGAATACTCTAAAACCCACTGAACTGTACACTTGAAATGGGTGAATTACACGGTATATGATTCATACCTCAATAGAGCAGTTGATTATTTTTTAAAACATGGTCAGGAGGGCTGGGGTCTGAGACAGAAGAGGGAGGGCCTAGCTAGAAAAACTGCTCACTCTAATCAGGCAGAAATAGATTCCCTGTGGCAAAATTCGAATGCCTTGCCCTGTGGGCAGAGTGGGGGATGGGAGGAGACGGCTTTAGGAAGCGAGGAATGGCTCTCCTTTGAATTTAAGCATCCAGGGAACTCTGACACTGACATCAAGTTAAAATTGAGAGTGAAGACTTCGGGGGCGCCTGGGTGGCTCGGTCAGTTAAGCGTCTGCCTTCGGCTTAGGTCATGGTCCCAGGGTCCTGGGATCGAGCCCCGTATCGGGCTCCCTGCTCGGCGGGAAGCCTGCTTCTCCCTCTCCCACTCCCCCTGCTTGTGTTCCCTCTCTCTCTGTCAAATAAATGAATAAAATATTAAAAAAAAAAAAAAAAAAAGGAGAGTGAAGACTTCGCTTATCCACGGCAAGCTAAACATGCCCCGCTCTCTGTCCTCCTCAAGCCCCACTGGAAAGGGACGGGTGAAGGCCTAGGTCATGGGGACACCAGGCGAGGCCGGCACTGGAGAAGCCACCAGAGCAGCGGAAATGCCACCAGACCGAGGCGGCAGGCACCTGGCAGGCGCAGGAGGTGCAGAAACCAGGACCTGCTAAAGTCTGTCCGGGAAACAACACCGTGGCTCCTCAAACACTTATACCTACACTCAGCATAGGAGTCAGCAATGCCACTTCTGGGTGTTTCCCCAAAAGAAGGGAAAGCAGGGGCTCCAAGAAAGATTTGCACACTCGTCTTCACAGCAGCCAAAAGCAGGAAGCAACCCAAGTGTCCATGAAGGGATGAATGGATAAGCGAAACGTGCTCTGTCCATACAATGGCATGTTCTTCAGCCTTAAAACGGAAGGAGATCCTGTCACAGGCTACAACATCCATGAACCTCAAGGACACTATGCTGAGCGACACCAGCAAATCACAACAGACAAATACAGTATGAGTCCACGCGCATGAGTGATCTAGAGTAGTCTAGATCTAGATTCAGAGAGACAGAAAGTAGGACGGTGAGCGCTGGGGGGCTGGGGGGAGGGCGAGCGAGTGTCTAATGTGGACAGTTTCAGTTTGGGAAGATGGAAAAGTTCTGGAGACGGAGGGTGGGGATGGCTACACAACAATATGAATGTGCTTAATGTCACTGAACATCGCACTTAAAAATGGTTAAAACTGGGGCACCTGCTGGCTCAGTCAGTAGAGCATGTGACTCTTGGTCTTGGGGTCGTGAGTTTGAGCCCCACGTTGGCTACAGAAATTACTAAAAAAAAAAAAAAAAATCCATCCATATATACATATACAGCTAAAATAGTTAAAATGGTAAATCTCATGTATGTTTTATCAGAATTATAAAAAAAAGTCTCTCCAGACTCTAGGAAACATTAACATTAGAAGACCCTCCCCCAAACCCATACAATTAGCAGAAAAGTAGAGATTTAGCCTCTGGAAAGGATAAATCAGAGGGATTCTGGACTTAGGGCCACTAGTCACAGCTAAAGAAGGGGACAAAACTTCCTACTGATGAGAAAGAAGAAAGCAGCCACTGCCATCTGGAGCCGCCCAGATGGGACGTGGTGTTATCCTACTGAACATAAGGAATGTCACAGAGCATCAGCGTCAGACAAGGTCACTCTGTGACCGTGAGAGGTGACGACAAAAACAAGGACACCTCATAATCACATCCGAGTGCAGACAAAAACAAGAACTTTGTCGAAGCCACAGAAATAACCAAACCTCCCTCTGTTCAGGCTAATAGGAGTGTGGGCTGCTTTAGCCTCCCTTCACCCCCCACCCCCCCCAACTCCTGCCTTCTAGATAAGATTTATGAAGACATCCAATCAGAGTTACCCCTTCTTCTCAACGGTATCTAGGCCGAGTCCCTCTCCCAAATCCTGTAACCTCAGCCCAGGTCCTACTAGTCCTTTCTAGCACCTTCTTACCAGGACACCCCAGGCTCCCCACCATGGGGGTCTCCCTCAAAGCGATGGTCTGAGTCCCTTCCCTGAGGGGAAGCCCCCGTTGACAAGCTCTGCTCATGAGCATCAGATATCTCATCTAATCTACCTCTCAGCAGCTCCTCTTAAATATGACCTGATGGCCAAGAATTGCCAGCCATTTGAGGGAAGCTCTAAAATGAAAGGAAAAAAAATGAAATGAAAGAGAAAGATGAAAGCAAGCTTTTTTTTTTTTTTTTAGCTGTAAGAAAAAACAGAAAATGCGGAGAGCAGAGAAAAATGTCAAGAAAACAAAAATGAGGGGTGCCTGGGTGGCTCAGTCGTTAAGCGTCTGCCTTCGGCTCAGGTCATAATCCCAGGGCCCTGGGATCGAGCCCCACATCGGGCTCCCCGGTCCGCGGGAAGCCTGCTTCTCCCCCTCCCACTCCCCCTGCTTGTGTTCCCTCTCTCGCTGTGTCTCTGTCAAATAAACAAAATCTTAAAAAAAAAAAAAGAAAACAAAACAAAAATGAATGTTTCAGAATGATCTGAGAAAACATGATGTCCACAAGACAAGTACAAAGGGTTATTTTAAATAGGAATTTGGAAAGCAAAGCAGAACTAAAAGGTATAGAGGTAGGAGAAGAGGAAAGAGAAAAGATAAGAAATTTAGAGAATCGACCCATGAGGTCCAACATCCAATTATAGGAATTCCTGAAAGTGAGAGAAAAGAAAATTAGAGGGAGGAAATGATCAAAGGAATAATATAAGCCCAAAACCTAAGGCCACAGTATTCTAAACTGACAATGCCCACCGGTTTCCCAGCACCGTGAAGGATAAAGGATCCCCAAGGAACATCACCACAAAATTTTACCAGGCAGGAAGGAGACTCCTAAAAACTTCAGGGAGAAGAATCTCAGGTCACACACAAAGGATCAGAAATCAGAAGGGTATTGGACTTCGCACCGACAATGCTGAAAGCCTGGAGCGATGCCTTTAACAGTCGAAAGAGAAACTTATTCTCAACTCTGAATTCTATATCCAGCTAAACTACCAACCAATTTCAAGGCTAGAATACAGGCATTTTCAGACAAGCGAAGTCACAGGCTGCCTGGGGCGGTGGACGGAGGGAGAGGAGCCGGTGGTAGGGCTGCGCACAAGGCTAGCCGGCTGTGGAAGGAAGTCTGTTGACAAGCAACTAGCAGCGTGCTGTGCAATTTGAACACAGGGAGGGAAGCCCCAGAAAGCAGCAGCTAGGGGACAGCAGGGAAGTGGCTGTTTCTGGGGAGTGGAATTGGGAACAGAAAGGGTGAGTCAGAGAACTGCCAGGGGCCATCGTAAGCCTTGAGTAACATTTGACTTTTTCAACTATGACTCGGATCAATATACAGATTAAAAAACTAAAAGCTCTGTGCAATCCCTGTCCATTCACAATGCCCATTTGGACAAACTGGTAAGGGAAAAAAACAGCTCAGGGACAAGTGAAAAGATGCTAGCTATATTCTACAGCTTGTATGGTTTATTTCCCTTCAACTTGGTGCTAGTTTTGCTGTGTTTGCTGTGGTGGGGAGGTTGCGTTCAGCCAATGCACGGCAGAAGTTTGCTTGCTTCGAATGCAAGTGGCGAAACTTCTAGGGAGCCTCATGTGCCTTGAGGCCATTGAATGAGGGTCTGAGAAATAAGCTGCATTCAGGAGTTTCGACTCCTTAGCAAAGTGGGATTCATTCGACTTGACTTAACCGCTGTTACAATGAAGACCAGAGAACACAAAGCCCTTTGCGTCCATGCCTGGGGGGCGGTGACCCTCACCTCATCTCCCTCATGGGGGTGGTAGTCAAAACGCTGTGGGAGACAGAAGGCAACTCCATGCACCTCCAGCACCTTGACCTTGTCCCCTGGAGGATCTAGGGCCTCCACGGCCTCTTCCAGGCTGCCCAGGCCCTGCATCTGGGAGACTTGGGTGCGGCTCTCGGCAGCCGCGTAGCTCCGGAGCACCTGCCCCAGGGCTAAGTGGAATCCTGTGTCACAGCACTGGGGAGGAGGCAAGCACATGGCTCAGGTGGGCCCCAGGGCATAGCGCCCCGCCCCCCAGCCTGCCCACCCAGTACTCACATCCATGAGGTCCATGACGTCATGCAAGTAGTAGTTGCTGACGGCAGCATTGACACTGGCCAGGCTGAGCAGGTACTCGTTGCGCGCCTTTGTGCACTTGAGTTTGTGCTCCAAGAACTTGGCCTGACGCTGCTCAAGACCACAAAAGTACACCAGGGTCACCTACTCGGCCAGCCAGCCAGCCCCCATCTCAGGCCTTCCACGGACTCTCCACACCCCCCTCCCCATGTGGACATGTGCCTCCGATGTCCCACAGGCCCCTCGGAGCACATGGCCCCGAAGTCCCAGTGTCCTCCCTTGCTGCACCCCCCCCCCCAACCGCCACGCAGAAACTCTCCCATCTCGGGCCGGCAACCCCCGTTCTGCCTCAGCTCCTCCAGGCTTGGTACATCCCCAACCTTTCAGGGGCCACCTCAAACATTCTCTCTGTGCACATCACCCAACCACCGTCCTATGTGTCTTCTTGCCCCTCTGAGACCTGACAGCACTGTGCGAGGCAGGGATGGGTGGGTGCAAAGGTTTCCTGAGTTGGGAGCACCAAAGCGGTCTTCACTCCAGCTGGGTAGGGGAGAGCTAGGAGCACAGGGAGGACTGTTCTCCTGCCACCCCCCTCCCCGGTACCGCATCTACCACCCTAGGCTGGAGAGCCCTCGAAAGCCAGCAGAACTGACTAGGCCCAGCCTTACCAGCCCTGCTTTCTCCCTCCATGCCCCACCTCCCAGCAGGTCCCAGGGAGAGCCAGGGATTCCAGGGTCAAAGGTTAGAACCAGAGCCTTCGAAGACAGACAGGTGCCCTCCAGGCCCACCTTTTCCACCAGCCGCCCTCCCTTCTTGAGGGAGCTCTTGCGGAGGGGTCCTGCCTCAGTGGTGCTGGTGGCGGAGGCACTCCGACCCGCCCGCTTCTCCTCCTGCCGCTCGGCTTCCCGGAGCTTGGCCTCGGCATTCACGCTCTCCATGTGGTACACGTGGTACGTCTTCTTGGCCTGCAGGGAGGACCAAGGCCAGGCTGCCCTGCTGAAGGCCATGGCCACAGCCAGCCCTGCCCCTCCTCCTCCCAGCCCAGCTGGGATTCAGACCTGAGAGCTAGCCGACCCCATGTGAGCACTTGGGCCAGCCACCCTGTGCCCAGAACAGGGAGAGATGGCCGTGCTTGCAGTCCCCCCCAAACCCGGGACTCTCCTGGGCACTCGATCCTCTTCCTTGCGCCTGGCTTGGGGGGGCGCGAGAGGATGGCCTCGCTCTGATGGGGGCGGGCCCCGCCCTGTGCTCACCGTCTGAAGCTCCGACACCACCTCCAGCAGCTCCTCCTGCAGCTGTTGCTCCAGATCCTTACTCTGAGGAGGACGCCGAGCGTGAGCAGGGCGCTGGCCCAGGGCCGTGGCGGCCGCTGTCCCCAGCGCAGCTGGGCCAGCGGGCACTCAAGGCTCCGCCCAGCTCCCCTCTGCCTGACACCCACCGGGCCTCCCTCGAGCCTGGGGCCATCCGCACCTGCTGCGCCCAGGGCGGAGGCCTTACCTTCTTTTTTTTTTTTTTTTTAAAGATTTTATTTATTTATTTGACAGAGAGACACACAGCGAGAGAGGGAACACAGGCAGGGGGAGTGGGAGAGGGAGA